ATATACATATGATAATGTGTGAACATTATGTTCGATTAGGATTTTGTATAGCTATGTACCGAAGTTGTGTATTGTGTTACTTTTTGACCATACGTACACTGTCGATAACTTCATATTTTGTTATATGGTCAGTTTTGTTCCTTAATAGTGTTCTTTTCAAGATTCAGCCATGCTTTTCCTACAAGCAGCTCTTTCCTCACTACTGTCAACCCCATTAAGCCCTTTTCTGGGGAGTGCAGTGTTTTTTACATCTTATGTCCGCCCTGTTAAGTTTTGGGAGCGAGATTACAAGTAAGCATCTGTATCTTATTACTATTTTTGTTAATAGTTGTTGGATTCTGTTACACATGAATATTCTACAGATACATATAGGTATATATTTTGCAAAATCCATTAAACTGTTATGAAAAGAATAGAATTTAGGTTATAAATAACCAAAACTTAACTGTCTGTGCTCAACATTGTTCAAAGACTGTATGTACGCGTTAAAGATTTCTTTTGAATTTCTCCTCTGGTGAAAAAGAAAACTTTTTTAACACACACACACATATATATATATATATACAATCACTAAACTCTTGGTCTACTGGATAATATTGAATAATGAATTCGACAAAATGTCATAACATTAATAATTAATTTAGGTATATTAATAAGGTTACTATATGGTGAAGTAAAACGGACTCAAAACCCGATACATATTATCCAAAGACATTTTTTTAATATTTTTTTTAATTTTTTGTCTCTTTGGGAGTTATGCTACTTACTTGGTATAGTTTAAGTATTTTATCAGAATAACTTGGGATATCCTGAGGTGCTTTTAATGTATTATATGGAGAAACTGCTTTTATGTAGAACTAGAAGTTTGAAGAAGTTTGAACTTGTAGTATATAACGTTTGATATACAAAGATACAATGTTTTGTGGAAGTACTTGTAAGCAGGGCTGACGAGAGGGGGGGGGGGCAGCTGGCCCGGGGTATCTTGACGGGCCCAGCAGTGAGATATTCCAAAGCTCACTAGAAATGCATACTATTTAATGAGCTAAAATAGCTACTACTTTTTCATAGATTCATGAAGAAATTTGTCACTTAAATTTCTTTTATGTAAAATCAACAGAAGTTAATAAATAGAATGAAAGGGGGACCTGATGATATTACTGACCCTGGGCAGCCAACTGTAGTGTCAATAATGTTCAATGCAGTGGCAGATTAATAGGAGGGAAGATAGGCTACTGCCCAGGGGCCCCGAGGCAAATGGGGGGGGGGGGTCCCAAAAATTTTGGCTATGATACTGTATATAAAGGGTGTTGTTGAAAAAGGAGAAATTATTAAAAAGAAAATGAGTTTAAAAAAAAGTTTTTATTTCAAATTGGGAGTGTAATTGAAATTTTATTATAGCTATGAAGGTGTATATTTAACTGTGAAGTAACGCTTGTCTTCTACAACAAAAATAATGTGTGTGAGGGGAACCCATATTTTTCACTTTCTCGGGGCTCAGAGTTATCTTAATCTGCCACTGGTTCCATGTGTTACCATCAAATGCAATACACAGATCTAGGTTTGTGTTTTTTCATCATTGGGTAACACAGGATGGTACAGATCTCAACTTTTCATGCAATGTTTATGGTGGTACAGATCTCAACTTTTCGTGTGATATTTATGGTGGTACAGATCTCAACTTTTCATGCTCTCAAATTATAAGTAACTTATAATTAATTATAATTTATAATTAATGTGTTTAATTTTGTAATAATATATAATTGAACAACAAGAAAAACAACATCACTAATCACAAATAAATACATTTGAAATAAAAACTGAAATCAGTCAACATGTTTCTACTATAAACCCAGTCAGTCAGTTGCCACCATATAAATTATGTTTTATTACAAACAATACCAAATGTTTTGACAGGTTTAATGCTCTATGTTTGATTTCAATTTGATTTTAAGCATGTTTGTTTTTATTGAGTTTTTTAAAAGCCTAAAGATTTTCCATATAATTAATATGTTTTATTATTAACAGTACCAAACGTGTTGACCACTCCAACACACGACTGTCTTCCCAACTTGAGAGAAATCCAGGTATGTTCAAACTCATCCTTTCAGAGCAGCTATTTGTTATCAATCTTAATATATTAGTATTAACCAAAAAATAGGATTATGATTATTCAAATATATATATATATATAACTGTGAGTATCTTGGTGCTGACTTTTTTCTATTATTTTTTGATACAGTTTGGCTACTTATAAACATTATTGACATTTCTCTTCCAGCTAGTAATAATCTAGTACAGTAAAGAAGTGGTTCTTCAAGCTCTATCTCTTGTTTAGGATTAGACAGTTGGTGTGTTTTATATCTATATGAAAGCTGTGTAACTGGATTTATATATGAGGTTAATTTTTGACAATGAGGTGTTTTGTGCTTTGGCATTCATAATCTTAGAAATAAACTGAGTTTCATTTTTGTTAATCAGTAATGAAATGATCCTAGAAAAGAACAAATTGTCTTTCTGAGCTGCATCTAAGCATTTTGGTTTTAATAATGTTATATTGTCATCGACAATCCTGCTTTATTCATAAAAACACAACACTATTAAATAACTTGTTGAAAGTGATGATTATTTCAATGTGACCACATCACTATTAATATCCTAGTAACTTTCGGCAAGCACCAAAATATTCTTCCCACTAGATGTAGGGATAAGTGGTATAATATAACTGAGATGTACTTGCAAAAAAATAAAAAAAGGTTATCCAATGTTATGTAAGTAACAGTAACAGTGTGACTTACATGTTTTCGAGAATTGATTTGATATAAATATAACTGCATATCTTGTAAGATTATATTTAGATTTACAGCATGTTGGTGATGTTTTATAATATATATATATATATATTTGTTAATATTTTATATTATTAGTATTAAATTAATCATATCTATTGCTAAATCATTGCTGTTTTGTGATACAGGTGCTAACGATAATAACTTGATCTCGATCTTCTATATCATTGCTGTTTTGTGATACAGGTGCTGACGATAATAACTTGAACTCGATCTGCTATATCATTGCTGTTTTGTGATACAGGTGCTGACGATAATAACTTGAACTCGATCTGCTATATCATTGCTGTTTTATGATACAGGTGCTGACGATAATAACTTGATCTCAATCTTCTATATCATTGCTGTTTTGTGATACAGGTGCTGACGATAATAACTTGATCTCGATCTTCTATATCATTGCTGTTTTGTGATACAGGTGCTGACGATAATAACTTGATCTCATCTTCTATATCATTGCTGTTTTGTGATACAGGTGCTGACGATAATAACTTGATCTCGATCTTCTATATCATTGCTGTTTTGTGATACAGGTGCTGACGCTAATAACTTGATCTCTATCTTCTATATCATTGCTGTTTTGTGATACAGGTGCTGACGATAATAACTTGAACTCGATCTTCTATGAACATCTGACGAGATCCTTGCAGCACTCTCTGTTTGGAGATTTGGCTCTCGGTCGTTGGGGAGTTGTTTCTCAAGGGGACTGTTTTGTATTGGCTTCAGACAATTTGAACTGTCTTGTACATGTAATAGAACTAGGCAATGGACTGGTAACTTTCCAGGTACGAGGATTGGAATTTAGAGGTGAGTTTGGTATCTTATTTCAGAACTAAAGTAGTTGTTTTACGGAACCTTCATTTGTTGCGTTAAATGTAACTACGTTATTGATACCATCTTCCTTCCATCATTGAGAGTTTAACATAAGGGGATGACTGTTTGTTGCTTACTACATTATTAATGGTAGCTGATAATAAATTTAACACTGTATGCTATTAAACTTTTTTAAACTGTCCAAAAATAACTACATTATTAATGGTAGCTGATAATAAATTTAACATTGTATGCTATTAAACTTTTTTAAACTGTCCAAAACGTAACTACATTATTAATGGTAGCTGACAATAAATTTAACATTGTATGCTATTAAACTTTTTAAACTGTCCAAACGTAACTACATTATTAATGGTAGCTGACAATAAATTTAACATTGTATGCTATTAAACTTTTTAAACTGTCCAAAAGTAACTACATTATTAATGGTAGCTGACAATAAATTTAACATTGTATGCTATTAAACTTTTTAAACTGTCCAAAAGTAACTACATTATTAATGGTAGCTGATAATAAATTTAACATTGTATGCTAATAAACTTTTTAAACTGTCCAAAAGTAACTACATTATTAATGGTAGCTGATAATAAAAATAACATTGTATGCTATTAAACTTTTTAAACTGTCCAAAAGTAACTTTGTATTAATTATTACAAAAATGTAAGTAATGTTTTTTTGACTGTGTTGATATTTAGGAACTTACTGTCAACAACGAGAAGTGGAAGCAATCAATGAAGGAGTCGAAGAAGATGAAGGTGGGTGTTAAAATGTCCAATTTAGAATAGGACTTGCTATAAATGCTGGTACTTGAATTAATTATTTAAAAAATTATGATTTATCAACCCATCTTAGTTGTATGCTTTCAGGAAGGGGAGGAGGACTTGTGTTATGATGTAGAAATACACTAACTATTTTTTGAAGCTTTCCCTGTGAAAGATTTAAAAAAAAAGAATGAAATAAAAAATCGATTCTTGCCTACCAGTGTCTCAGTGGTAAGTCTGAAGGCTTATAAAGCTAAAAACTGGGGTTCGATACCTGAGCAGCATAGATAATGTGGCTGTGTGCTTAAGAACAAACAAGCAAATCATCAGTTTGTGAGAAGTCTTGAGTAATGATATTGACCAATTCTCCCACTAAAAAAAGTCTGTCCTCATTCTTGTCATTTCAAAATAAATAATGTGATGGGGTTTTCTGACCATAAAGATATCTATTTTTGTGTGTGTGAATCTTTATTTCACTTTTCAATGAATAAAAATAGTAATTTTTTATTACAAATTTTATTTGTCGTGTCTACCCTATTCCAGTATTTTTATCATATTACCATGTTTTCTCCAAATCCCCCAGAATAAGACACAACCTCCATATTCTCACCATTAAATAATAATAATAATCACAAATTCATTGTACAATAGAACCAAACACGTGACTTGCTGCCTGAGCTACGTGAAGATTCTTGTATTGCTTACATGTTGTAACTGTTTATCTTCTTTGTCGTAAATTATGAAAACTGTATCAAACTCTGATGATATTAACCTCTATAAAAGTCTATTTTTTTCAAGATTTTTATTGAAACTTAATAAATGTGAGTGATGAAGTTCTGGAAGTGTAATTCAATCATAATTATTCCAACTCTAACCTCAAATAGTTAAGTTAATGCAAGCTCTAAAGTAGTATTAAGTTTTGATACCCAAAATAATTATAAACAATAGAGACTTAACTCTTGACATGAGTATAATTATCAGAAGTTGTAACTTAACTTTACTGAAACCTTAAGTCGCACAATACTGTAAGTACTGCTTATGCTTTCTCATTACAGTTCCTGCTGTTTCTGTACAAATTTATAGCAGGATTGTTTTTAACACTTAAAAGAGACATAATTGTTTTTGGATATTAGGTTTGCTTCCGGAGAACGTCAAGAAAATCAAACTACATTATAAGTAAAAATATCCAAGGTTTAGCTGTGCTGTACGTCAAAACATTTTCTAAAGTTATATTCAAAGATGATACGTTCTCATGTAATAAGATATTGGTGCACTTGTTGATTTCTGATCAAAGCATTCAACAGTGTGGATGTTTTCATATAAATAAGCATTACAGGGTGTCTGAAACATTTGGAACCATAGACACTTCAACAAATTTTACGGAATGTATTCCACATGCTGTCTTTGTAATTTGAAACAAGTTTGGATTAACTTGATCTGCTCATACTCTGACAGCACCATAATCAGTCTTGTAACTGAAATTAAGAAAGGCTGCAACTCGACTATGATTTCAGACTGCTTGGACACCCTGTGGTATTCGAATAACACATCAGTCATCATGATGGTAAATCAGAAGATTCAACAGAAGAGTAGGAGGATTTTAGACTTCAGGTTAATAGTTGTTTGTAACAAATTCAGTATTATATGTCAACAGTCAGAACTAGAAAGCAGGAAAAAAGTTCATTCTCATAACATGATTTTCATTTTTCCTGTTATTCATACTTGTCTTGGATGCTTTCTAGAATAGATCCATGTATTCTGTGCATTTCTTTGTGTCTACGAATAGATCCATGTATTTTGTGCATTTCTTTGTGTCTACAAATAGATCCATGTATTCTGTGCATTTCTTTGTATCTACGAATAGATCCATGTATTCTGTGCATTTCTTTGTATCTACGAATAGATCCATGTATTCTGTGCATTTCTTTGTATCTACGAATAGATCCATGTATTCTGTGCATTTCTTTGTGTCTACGAATAGATCCATGTATTCTGTGCATTTCTTTGTGTCTACGAATAGATCCATGTATTTTGTGCATTTCTTTGTGTCTACAAATAGATCCATGTATTCTGTTCATTTCTTTGTGTCTACAAATAGATCCATGTATTCTGTTCATTTCTTTGTGTCTATGAATAGGCTGCTGTTGTTGTGAGCCTGGACATCTTCCACACGTCCTATCAATGAATGCAGCCTTCAATCTCCGATGGTTAGCGTGGGAAGTGTCTGCTACGAAGTACGTGCTTGAAGGCTACAGTATATCAGAGAATAGTGCAGTCTCCATGTTGCAAGTCTATGATCTTCGGAAAGCTCTGATAACATATTATGTTAAAGTAAGTTATATATATATATTAATAAATTAGAACAAGTTATCTTGTTCATTGTGATTAAATTATGAATTATATAAAGTCACCTTTGCAGTGCTTGTTCTGCAGCTCATGTAAATTTTCCAAGCCAATGAAGTTATTGGAAATAAGAAGAAGATAAAACATTTTGTAGTTATTTGGACATGCCCTTTCTTAAGTCCCTGAAAATGTTTTGGTGAAGTAAATAAGACTTATTTTAATACACCCCATATGTATCATACAGATGATATTAATCACATACTTAAAAGCAAATAAAGTATTAAATAGTATTCTAACCATTTGCTGTAGTATTTCTTAGTTTGCAACATCAAGATAATATATGTTGTTTTATCCAAACATGCTTAGTAATTTTTTAACTTATCACATTAAATTCAATCTTCTTATCTGTAATGCATTAAACTCAATTTATTTAATTTAAGTGCTACCTCAAGGTCACTATTCTTAGTATTATTAAATTTCCACATTGTCTGTATGTTCCTTTTGTTTATTGTTTGTACTTCATTAAGTTTTTTATTTTGTTAAGCATTATTAAGAACTACCCTGGTTCACTACGTCAAATTTTATATAGTGCTAAAGTCTGTTGTTGTTTTTTTCTAATCCATGTTATACTTTTTTGTACTAGTATACCTAAAGAATCCTCCCAATGGCTCAGCAGTAAGTTTCAAGGCTTATGCTGCCTGAAACTGAGTTTTGATACTCATGATTGGCATGGCAAAGATAACCCGTTTTGTAGCTTTGTGCTTAACAACAAACTAATAAATATCTAAAAGAAGCATTTACTAAATTTGATTTGAGACTTATAATGTGGCAATTTTTTAATATTAATGTGTGGCACTTTTTTCTGTAAATGGTAATGTATTTATTCCTGCAAAGTTTGTCTTTATAACTGTTACAAAAGCTCAAAGAAAGAAAGAAATTCATGATTTTGTGGAGAAATGTCTTAGATTTTTCATTATATATCATCTACTAGTTAGCAAGCACTAGTCCTGTTTGCCCTTGTATTCTATTTTTCTATGTTTTTCATGGTATTACTGGCTGTATCTAGGTCTTGTGTTCTTTTTACATATAGAGTACCAAGATTGTATGTGTATTTAATTATTCATGTAATTTTGTTTTCAGAGCATGATATACTATACCATTGCATCACTGTGGCTGGAAGATTGGCTTCAATCCGAAGTTTTACAAGAAGCTTTCCACTCCACTTTAGACAAGAATTATGCTGACTTAGATCCAATATTCAACTTTAATATTGATGAAGATTATGACTTTAGAGTTTCTGGGATCTCTCGATACAGCTTTTGCAATATATACCTCGAGTGGATTCAGTTCTGTGCCTCCAAGAAAGAAAAGGCTAGTTATTTAACATTACAATAAAACTTTGAAAGAAAACGGCCCAAAATATTGTTATGTTATACGTCCCAGCCTTAACTATGTCATACTTCGCAGCATTAACTATTTCATACTTCCCAGCGTTAGCTGTTTCATACTTCCCAGCCTAAACTATTTCATACTTCCCAGCCTTATCTATGTCATACTTCCCAGCCTTAACTATGTCATACTTCCCAGCATTAGCTGTTTCATACTTCCCAGCCTTAACTATGTCATACTTCCCAGCATTAGCTGTTTCATACTTCCCAGCCTTAACTATGTCATACTTCCCAGCCTTAACTATGTCATACTTCCCAGCATCAATTATGTCATACTTCCCAGCATCAATTATGTCATACTTCCCAGCATTAATTATGTCATACTTCCCAGCATTAATTATGTCATACTTCCCAGCATTAATTATGTCATACTTCCCAGCGTTAACTATTGCATACTTCCCAGCGTTAACTATTACATACTTCTCAACGTTAACTATTATATACTTCTCAACGTTAACTATTATATACTTCTCAACGTTAACTATTTCATACTTCTCAACGTTAACTATTTCATACTTCCCAGCATTAATTATTACATCAGATTCTGTATGCAGCCATGCTACTTAGAAATCAAGACAGTTCTTATTTTTAAAATGTTTTATAATTACAAAAACCAGGCATAATTACTTTATAATTTAAGTAACTTGGATAAGATATGTTCTTGGTCTTTGTATAAGCAGACTTTTTCCTCATTTATACAGAGACAATATTCATCATTAGTCTTGATGTAATCTTGATCTTAAAACTTAAAATCATAGGGAGAAGAGCATATATCATGACATTTTATTTAGATATATCGCACGATTTACTTCTGTAACAGAGTTAAAAAGTACATTTACCGCAACAGTGGTAATTTATCAACAATGGCCATAAAGCTTCAAGGAAATTTAAGTAGATGTCTTGCAAACAGTATTGTTTCATTAACTAATTTAGTATGAGAGAAGAATTCTGATTGTTTCTATGATTTGTCAAAAGCCGGTACTTAAAATCCGAGAACCAAGTAGTTTTATAGTAAATACAATTATAAGTATTTGTTTATATTTTTACTTGGTCTTTTCCTTGACTCCTGCTTAGTTGTGATGATTTGTGTACCCAAAAATTTTAAAATTGAATAAACAGCATGAAAAATCAGGTTATTCACTAGACCTTACAGAAGTTAATTTTGATATTTTAAACATTATTAAAAGGGCAGACTGTGTATATTGTACATGTATATATATATATATTCCACTTGTGGAATGTTTTTTTTTGCTGGTGGCATGTACTTTTTAAAAGGATTTTTTTGTTTTGTTTTGGAGTAGATATAGTGTGTTTTTGATAGTTAAAGGCAGGGAGTGTTTCAAGAATTAACAAGATTCCTTTTATCATGTGTTCACGCAGGTTCAGGCCCTAGACACCCATAAGGACTCTGTTCTTGTGTCTTTATGTTTTGCTCTAAGCCTCTTGGGTAGAAGGACTCTTAGTGCAGTGTCTCACCACTCCTTTTCAAGGTGGGTGATGATTTATTGATATTATTTTTCCATTATTACAACGTGAATATTCTGTGTTTTAAGGAGTCTAATTAAAATTTATGCAAAATCAACTATGTTGGCAAAAATAAATTTTCTTCAGCAACAAAGAAGCTTTAAAACTAATTGTATATAAATATTCTTTTCACAAAATGAATTAAGTACACGTTCGAAGCTAGAGAAGCTCAGAACAATCATTAGCATTATTCAAATTAGATTTAAATTGTAACTAATCAGTTCTTTGAAAAAAAAACACAAGTGAATTAGGACTAACTGTAAAAAATGAACAATTTGAATAAAAATGGATTTAAGCAGTGAACTGCAATCAGTTAATGAAACGTATTAGTAAAATAAGTTGTAGTGAACAACCTAATAATAAAAAAATTACATTTTAATTGTAGTTTGTATTGATTAAAATCTTAGTGCTGCTATGAAAGTGTGTTATGAATGAGTTGACATAAATTGGGTGAAAAATTTGTCACAAAAGTCAGAAAATACCAAAAAACATTTGTAATGAATTTTGTATTTGGCAGTTTGATAGGTGAACTTTAAAGTTATTAACATTCCTGTTGGGTTGCAGAAAATATCATAAAACATTGGTTCACAATCACTACTGTTTTTGCTATTGAATTATTGATTGCTGATATTGTATAAAACAATATTAAATTAAATCTTTTGATGCCATTATACGGTAATATTCATATTTATGGACTTACTTAGTGTGGAATGAGGTAAGCCAACAGCATGCAGCTAACCCTTTTTAAGTTTCACATGTCATTGATCACAAACTATCAGATGCCCTTGTCAGCACATTATGTGCAAAAAATGGGCAATTCTACTCTTTATCTTAATAATATAAGTGCTACACAGTCCACAGTGACCATCAAAAACATAGTTCAAATTTCTGTCATCTTTATGAAGAATTGTCACTTTTTCCTGTTAAACACTGGGTTTTTTCTTAATAGAAAATTAAAATCTGTTATAGAATCATGATCATATTAACAGCATTTGAAAGCCACAAAGTATTAAAAGTTAATGGTGTTTTAAATCTATAGTAGTGTTGTTACAATTGATATTCTTGTATGAGAATCGAAACTCATTGAATATCCTCTACTCCTTGTTAACAAGATATCAACTAACATAATCAGACATGGCTAGTGTGCAGCTTTCAACTTAACCACAAAAACATCTTTGATAGTACAACAGAGTGAGTTTCTTTATTTGATGCACTGGAAAGTCATTTATGTTTTGTTGATTGAGTGGTACTGTCTGATGCTTTGTTTTCAGTGTGGACTTCCTTCTGTATGGTCTACATGCTCTTTTTAAAGGGGATTTTCGTATCACATCTCTGAGGGACGAGTGGGTTTTTCAAGACATGGAACTATTAAGAAAAGTGGTAGCACCAAGCATTCGCATGGCTTTGAAACTTCATCACGTAAGTTTGGCATAAAATTTTATGTCTAATGACAGTGTTGTATTATGTATTTTTGTTAATTACTGGATGTTAAAATAACATAACTTTTTGGTTAAAAAAATAATGTTAATGGATATTGAAATTAAGTTTTTAACAATGCAAGTATTAAACCTAGCTATACAAAATAAAGGCTTTTATATAAATAATTACACCAAGCTATCTTCTAACCTAAATACAACTCTTAAAAAAATAATTTTTGGATAATATTAACTGACCTAGCTAGGCTGGTGAGAATTTATATAACTCAGAAGTGTAGTTCTCAGTTTCTGTGATATGGAATATACAAAGAAAATAAAACCTCAACACTAAATCTGGCTGGATAACCTCCAACATTTTCATAAGGAAAAAAAAATACTGATGTTTACTTAAACCAAATCTATGCTAGTGTTCTTTAACATTCAGACATTACCTTTCTCTCATGCTCAAGAAAAATTGCTGCGACACACATTCCATCATAATACCAACAACTCTGGCACATTCTGTTTACCCACTTATCCTGATTCAGGTTTCTTCTGGTTCTCTATTTGTTTTCCAGTTTGGTGTATATTTGTTAATTGAAATACTGTACATTTCACGAGTTTGGATACTTGATGAAACTGGTTTGGTCAAGCACTGAATGTTAAAATATGTAAAATTGTCTCTGTTGTTTTCTGTCTAGTGTCGACAGTTTTTATGTGTATGATCTGTTGACACCATGTACATGGGAAGGTCAAAGTGTGCATATCATAACATTTTTACAGAGTTACATACAAAATATAATTAAACTTCTTTATAAATATGTGTCAATAAACTTGACATCAAAATGTACTTTTATAAGTCCAATTTTTTTCTATAATCCAATGTCTGTAATATTAATTTCAAAAGGAAATATTTAGATAAATAGTCTGCACCACTCTGAGTCGCATGATGCAGCAAGACTTTCCACACTGATTTTTCCAAGCCCGTTCCCTTGGCTGTGGTTTCGCTAGATAGTAGCGAAATTTATAGATTTTTTCTTTTTCTTTATGAGAGTTTTAGATGGTTCAGCCAATTAGAAACACATACTGTAGATACTGACAAGCCAGAATATAAAATTTCAACCTCTTCTTGTGTTACTAAGATATCATTATCTTTCTTCAAAACATATGACATACCCCTTCCATCCCCTCTATCTTTTAAGAAGTATTTTTAATTATCTCTAGCATTATTCTGGACATGTTTATAACTAATAGAAAGAGCATATTCTGCACTATATAAATCAGATGATTGTTTTATTTTAGTGATCAGATTGATAGTTCAAAATGACAGCTTGTTGTGCTTAGACTAAAGTGTGACAGTTTGTTTACTTTAAGATGGTGATTTGTTGGACTAAAGACAGTTTGATTACTTTAAGATGGTGATTTGTTGGACTAAAGACAGTTTGATTACTTTAAGATGGTGATTTGTTGGATTAAAGACAGTTTGTTTACTTTAAGATGGTGATTTGTTGGATTAAAGACAGTTTGTTTACTTTAAGATGGTGATTTGTTGGATTAAAGACAGTTTGTTTACTTTAAGATGGTGATTTGTTGGATTAAAGACAGT